CAAGAGAATTCTTGGTTGGCTGTGGGCGCCTCATGTTCAAAGGACTTTACTGCATTTTGGACCCGCCCCTAAACAAGCCAAGCCGCGTCTGCAAAGAGCTGCTGGCGCTTCCTGCTGAGGCTGCAACAGTAAATCGGCTGGTCTTTCCAGAAAGCCAAAGGGGACTGTGGAGTCTGAAGCCGTGTAGGCATGTCTGGGGCCTCGGGCAGCTGTCCAGTGCTATCCTAATGACCAGGGGTGTGTGGGAGGAACCCGGAGTGTGGCAGCCATCCTCCAGGTGAGAGCCTCGCCACCTCAAGGTACTTACTGTATTTCAGTCTCTGGTGCTGCCCCTATTCCTGGACTAGGTGCCCTACAGATAAGGATTTTTCTCAGATAGCCTTGGATGGATTTATTGACTAGGAAAGCTCACTATGTAATGTGCCAGAAATTGGGGTTTCCCTATGCCTCTTGGGTACAGGTTTTTGACAGATTTCAAACCTCAAATCCAAGCCATTCCTTTATGTGCCAAGGAGTGTGACTGTGCAATATAAAAACCTACTTTTCAAAAACATTGTCAGGGTTTAACTGTCAGGGTTTAAAGCGTGAAGGGCAGTGATCTTAAACTTTACTTTCCTCAACACAAGGAACTGAATTCTATTATCATTCCTATTTTGTAGAAGTTGGTTAAATAACCTGCCCTATATCATACATTTCTAGTATGCTATGGAATCCATATTTGAAACCATGGCTGAAAGACCACAGCCTGACTCTTAATTCTTACTATGCATATAGAGCTTCTCAAACGTCCGTTGACAAACAGGAATAGCACTACAAGTTAGGTGCTGTTTTTACCTCATTTCAGTGACAAGAAAACCAAGGCTCACTAAGGTTCAGTTAAATATCTGGAATCTTCCAAATACTAAGTGAGCACAGCTGGGAACAAAATAGTATCTTCCTAATTTCAGATACAATGTTGAGGGCAGTCAATGCAAAACAATGACCCAACAACAAATACATGTTAGGCAGTTTATAGGGCCTCTTTTTTTTTAAGATTTCAATAAGGCTTGGGCTCCCAGGTGACGCAATCAGTTAAGCTTCTGACATTGGCTCAGGTCATGATCTCATGGTTTGTGTGTTGGGATCCCTGCATCCGGCCCTGAGATGATAGCTCTGAGCCTGTAGCCTGCTTCAGATTCTGTGTCCTTCTCTCTCTGCCCCTCCCCCACTTGTACTCTGTCTCTATCTCTCAAAAATAAATAAACGTTTAAAAATTTTTTTTCAAAAGGCTCTTGGAGTGTGGGTATCTGTATCTCAAATTTGAAGATGAGAAAATTGATAGATAACTATCAAGATCAAATCAGTGTTTAAGGATAGATACAGATTGGAACCCAGGTGTTTCTAAATTCAATGCACAGGTCACAGTCAGGTCTCATCCTTTCTCCTCATTCAGGAGAACTCAAATCTCCGCCATTATCAAGGCAAACTTTTAATTCACCCTTTTGTTTATATAAATGCCTAAGAATAAGGTTTCCCACCCCCAGCTCCAACCTTAAACACTATCTCCACACATCTTCTTTCACTGGAACAGAGCCCCCATGAAGGCAGAGACTTTGTCTATTCCACCATTATGTTCTCATCAACTAGAATAGAGCCTTCTGTGTATTGGGTGTTTGTTAATTAGATTCAAAGGAATTAACATTCCTGTGATTTCCCCTTCACCTCTTAACTATCCTTTCTTGCCCCCTGGCCTTCCAAGTCTCTGTATCTGGAATCCGCTCTGAGTGATCTCTCTCCATTTACCCACAGCTTGAGAAGTTCACCTGGATAATAATGAACAGATAACACATCAAAATTTGTGACATTCAGCTAAAAAAAAAGGGGGGGGGGGCTTAAAGGGAGTGGCTAAAATTCAGAATACTGAAAATAAGTGACAAAGATGTGGAGTCACTGGAACTGTTACACATTAATAGGAGACTATGAAATAGGTTTAAAAATTGGAAAACAGCTTGGCAATTCATTCTAAAGTCAAGTACATGGGGCGCCTGGGTGGCTTAGTTGGTTAAGCTTCCGACTCGGCCCAGGTCATGATCTCATGTTTCATGAGTTTGATTCCTGCATCAGGCTCTGTACTGCAGGTGCAGAGCTTGCTTAGGATCCTCTCTCTTCCTCTCTCTCTGCCCCTGCCTGGTTCGTGCATACACATGCACTCTCTCCCTCCAAAATAAAATAAACTTAAAAAAATAAAATAAAGTCAAACACATAACTATCACACTACCTAGCAACTTCATATCTAAGAGTTTACCTAAGAGGAATAAAAACTTGGACCCACCCAAAAACTTTCACAGCAATGGTCTTAACAGCTTTCATTATAATAACACAAAACTGAAACAACCAAAATGTCAACAGGAGAAAGGATGAATACATTATGATATATCCATATAATGGAATACTATTCAACCATATTTTGGATTGAACTGATACATGCAACAACATGGATGAATCTTAAAATAATTATGCTGAATGGAAGAAATAAGACAAAGTACATATTGTTCAATTCTATTTACATACAAATCTAGAAAGTGCAACCTAATTTATTAACAGACACTAGATCAGTAATTGCCTGGAAGCAGAGTGGGAGGGGCCAGGGAGGGCTGGGAGGGAAGCATTGCAAAGACTTTTGGGGACAGTGAATTTGTTCATTTTTCTGATTATATTCATTATCTATATATGAATATATACACATTTCAAAATTAATCCATTTGTACCTCTGTGTGGTGATGGATGTTAACCAGACTCATTGTAGTAATCATTTCACAATGTAAACAAATATCAAATCATTATACTGTATACCTGAAACTAATACACAGATGCTCCTTGACTTATGATGGGGTTACATCCTGATAAGCCCACTGTAAGCTGAAAATCTCATAAATCAAAAATGCATTTAATACACCTAACCTACTGAACATCACAGTTAGCCTACTAACTCAGAATACTTACATTAGCCTACAGTTGGGCAAAATCATCCAACACAAAGCCTACATTATAATAAAGTGTTGAATATCTCATGTAATTTACTTAATACTATATTGAAAGTGAAAAACAAAATGGTTGTGTGGGTATTGCTTTCACACAATCATAAAGTTGAAAAATTCAGTTGGGAACCATGTATAATGTTATATGTCAATTATATCTCAATTAAAAAAATTGAATCCAACTGTATGCTTTAAATATGTGCCATGTACTACATGTCAATAGAGATGTTGTTAAAGACATGGTATTATAGTCTTAAATGAACATAGATACAATACATATCTATGTACATACATATCTATGTACAATACATATATGACAACTATAATATAGAAGATGGGGCTATAAATGGACCTACGCATTGCAAGGTTCTTACACTTTATGTGAAGTGGTTCAATATTAACTCTAAGTAGACTGTGAATAGTTTAGAATATATGTTTTAATACAGACAGTGACCACTAAAAATATGCACAAAGCATAGTGAAAAACAAGTTAAAATGGAATTTTAAATAAGTATTTAATGCAAGAGAAGACAAACTTGAGACACAAGGGAACAAAAGTCAGATGGAAACAAACAAAATAAAATGGATTACTGTGTCAGTAATTACATTAAATGTAAATGGACTAAACACTACATTTGGAAAAAAAAAAGACATTGTCACAAGGGATAGAAAAACAATAGTTTGAGAAAACTAAGGGATGTCTTCAGTCCTCAAGTTCTTTATGTTAAATCCTATCACACAGTTTTCTTGTTTTGACAAATATTTTGAATGACTGCATAGCATTCTAACTTAAGAATTATAATTAATCATCTTGAGATGATTAGGTGTATGCATTAGGTTGGACAACATTTCTAGGGTCTTTACACAGTTCTTGATCTCTGTTAACTTACTAATTATGATTTTATTCTCTTTTATGGCCATCAACAATCCCTCACTTAACACTCTTCTGGTTTCTGAGTTAGAGGATACTAAGATTGATCCAGAATTATATCAGTCAGTTAGTTTCAGCCTATCTAGTCAGCAGTAGTCATGATATTTATCATTTAGAAATTCCTTACTAAAACCCATGATCTACAGGTGCCTGGGTGGCTCAGTCAGTTGAGTATCAGACTTATCATCCACTGACAGCGTGGAACCTATTGGGATTCTCTTTCCTTCTCTCTCTGCCCCTTCCCTCCTCATTCTCTCTCACAAAATAAAATAAAAACTAATAGTAAAACCCATGATCCATATATTTGCAAGTTCTAAATCACATGTCTATTCAATTTTAAAAGCCTCACAAAGTATTAATCTCAATCTACACTAAGACAGATACCATTTATTACCAGGCTTTGTCACATGTACCTAGAAAACTCATGTCTGTGAGAATGTCAGAATCTTCAGAAGTTTGGCCATATGGGATCCTCATCTCTAATTCATCAACTACAATCCTGACTTGCAAAGCTCAAATCATTTCTTTACAGGACTTTACTTTTTCATTCTCCCTTCACTGCTCTTAAAATAAGTTAGGCACAGAGGAGATAATGAATACTCTGGTCAGTATATACATAAACACTGGTTGGAGGAGACTGGGCCACATACAGAGAACATGAGGTTATCTGGAACCATTGTTCATAATTGACTGGGGTTCTTTTAGGTAGGAAGCTTCTAGGACAACTAATGAAAACATTTATATCACATTATTTCAACAAGAAGGAAACACCAACTTACATATGTCATAGCTTGATGTCTGCAAAAACTGATCCGTTCTCCTACGGGTTTCCCTACTGGAGAAAAACAGAGAATCCAGACCTGGGAAAGGAAAAAGAGATTGTGAGAGCAAGCATGCTTTAGTGTTACTATGTAACAACTTAAATGTTTTGCTTCTCCATTCCATTTTATTTAATATCTCCTTCAGCACAAACACACACAACTGCAAAAGATTAGAAGGATTTTAGATAAATTGAAACTCTTCCCCTAATCCCCAGGAAATCCAGATATTTCAGCAGATAGCTTTCTGGTCAGTGCTCCATTTTGGGAAAGCTGTTCTGCACCTGAGACTGTGCTGCTCAGTCCTGCCCTGAACACATGCTTCCCCCTTCATTCACGGCTTTCAGGACTGAAAAGGACCTACATCATCCAAACCACACCTTACTTCCTGGCTTTGGGATCAGGTGAGGGTGAACGGGTTGAAAAAGTATACAGGTTAGAAAAGACATTAAATTGGGTCAGGCAGGGTACAACAATCCAGAAAAACTGCTGAAATATATCACATACCAAATGTGAAGTAAGGGAAAAATAATGAAGATATGGAAAATATTCCAGAAATACTGTCAGTAGAAAAATCACATTATGAAACCATATTTACACTACATTATTTGTAAGATACATGCATACTTCAATATTGAAAGACTGACAGATCATCAGATTTCAGTAGACAGAGAAAGTCCAGAAAGCAAAACACCCATACATTAACAGTGCTTGTCTTCTCTCTTGATCTTTTTTTTTCTTGAAAAGTAATAATTGCCTACATACAAGAGACAGGTTTCTTTGCTGTTTCAATGACATATATGTTTGAAGATTTCTTTTTTTTTTTTTTTATTAAAAAAAAATTTTTTTTTCAACGTTTTTATTTATTTTTGGGACAGAGAGAGACAGAGCATGAACAGGGGAGGGGCAGAGAGACAGGGAGACACAGAATCGGAAACAGGCTCCAGGCTCCGAGCCATCAGCCCAGAGCCTGACGCGGGGCTCGAACTCACGGACCGCGAGATCGTGACCTGGCTGAAGTCGGACGCTTAACCGACTGCGCCACCCAGGCGCCCCAAGATTTCTTTTGATGTACACATTTCATAGTACTGATGAATAGAAGAAAGGTGAAGCTCACATGGTTAATCTTAGCCAAAGTGTATGTGTGTGTATATATATGTGTGTATACGTGTGTATGTGTCTGTGTTCCAAAATACTATTATGTTATCTGAATCATAAAATCTCAAAATTTCACCAGGGATCAAATAACTAGATACTTAGAAAACAAAGCTGACAGAAAATACCTAAGGTAACCTCAAGAAGGTCGTGCCTCAGTAACCACTTTTTTGAGATATTATACTGTTGCATTAGACTTTAACCTAAAACTTAGATATTTTTTGACAGATAACTGACATATGACATTATATTAGTTTCAGGCATATAGCAGGATTCAAAATTTGTTTATATATTACAAAATGATCACCTCAGTTAAGTCTAGTTAATATCCATCACCATACAGTTATTTTTTTTCTTGTGATGAGAACTTTGAAGATCTGCTTTCTTGGCAATTTTCAAATATACAATACAGTATTATTATTATAATACAGTATTAACTATAGTCACCACACTGTACATTACATCCCCATGATTCATTTATAACTGGAAGTGGGTACCTTTTTCCCACCTTCACATATTTTACCCACCCTCCAACCCCCACCAATGGCAACTACAATCTTTTCTCTGTATCGGAGTTCAGGTTTTGTTGAGGGGTGGGGGATTAGATTCCTCATATAAATGAGATCATATAGTATTGCTACTTGTCTTTCTCTGACTTATTTCATTTAGGGTAACATCCACCCATATTGTTGCAAATGGTAAGCTTTTCTTTTTAATGTCTGAATAATATTCCCCTGTGTATATATACAATATATTTTGATTTTGATGAGAATTTAAGTATATGAAGTTAGCAGTTCAATGGCCATGTCTTAAAATATATATGCATTATGAACATTTGTTATAAGTGGAAGCTGTTTTCCAAAATGTGCAAAGTTCATTCTTTTAAACAGTGTTTACTTGCTCTTGGAGTACAGTAAGTTTGAATTATTTTGCTAAATGGTTCTTGTTTTCTTCAGTTACCAGTAATATGATGTTCTATAAGATTTTTATGTATGCTTATTGTTGGATTACTGCCTAAAAATATGGATAGTCTCTGAGAACAGTCTTGTATTGATGCTGGTCTCACTGCTATATCCTTAGGGAAGTTTACTTCACAGAACTATTTCCCACTCCATTAGTCACATGCTCCAAAAAGCTGCCGAATGTAACATCATAAGAATAAAACATGTAATGAAGGAGATACCATGTGATCCAGCAATTCCACCCTTAGGTGTATACCCAAGAATAAAAAATACATTCACACACACACACACACACACACACACACACACACACACACACACAAAACCTTTTACACAAATGTTTGCACTTATAACAGCCCAAAAGTGGAAGAAACCCAAATGTTCATAAACTGATAAAGAAAATGTGGTATATACATGCAAGGGAATATTATGCAGCCATAAAAATGAAGGTTATTTTGATACCAGTTACAACGTGGATGAATCTTGAAGACATTATGTGAAGTGAAATAAGCTAGTCACAAAAGGACACATATTGGGGTGCCTGGGTGGCTCAGTCAGTTAAGTGGCCGACTTCAGCTCAGGTCATGATCTCACGGTTTGTGAGTTTGAGCCCTGCATTGGGTTCTGTGCTGACAGCTCGGAGCCTGGAGCCTGCTTTGGATTCTGTGTCTCCCTCTCTCTCCTCCTCCCCCATTCGCGTTCTGTCTCTCTCTCAAAAATAAATATTTAAAAGAAAAGGACACATATTGTATGATTCCTCTTATATGAGATTCTTAGAATTGTCAAATTCATAGAAACAGAAAGTGGATGCCAGGGACTAGGGGGCGATGGGGGATAGGAAGTGTTTAATGGGTAGAGTTTCAGTTGGTGAAGATGAAAAAGTCCTGAAGATGAATGGTGGTGATGGCTGCAAGAACAATACAAATGTACTTAATGTGACAGAACTGTGCATTTAAAATGGTTAAAATGTCAAATTTTGTTAGGTATACTTTTTTTAAGTTTATTTATTTATTTTGAGGGAGAGAGAGAACACAAATGGGGAAGGGACAGAGAGAGAGGGAAAGAGAGAATCCCAAGCAGGCTCTGCACAACCAGTGCAGAGCCAGATGCGGGGCTCAAACCTGCAAACTGCAAGACCACCTCCTGAGCCGAAGTCAGACGCTTAACCGACTGAGCCACCCAGGTGCCCCAAACTTTGTTATGTACACTTTACTACATAAAAAAACAAATGAAGTACTTATACATAATTAATAGTGGCGCATTAACAGTGGTACTGGTTATACAACCCTGTGACTACATTAAAGACTACTGAATACACTTGATCTCCACTCAGGTCTTGCTCTCAGGGTTGTGAGTCCAAGCCCTGTGTTGGGCTCCATGCTGAGTGGGTGGATGAGTAAACAAACAAATAAATGAAAATAAGGTGTATCTTAAAGAATTATATCTATTTAAAAAGATAAAAATTTATAACAGAAATTCCTTACCATCACAGTGCTTTTTTTTAGGTCAGCATAATTTGATAGTAAGCGGACGGTGGTGGCTACTCTGAGTAACATCACTGCCTTATGAATTCCCAAGGCACAGTATCCGAACCTCCCTAGTGGACTTAGATGCATTTATTTCCATTCAGTGTTCGCCTTACTTACTAAAAGGAACATAAAAATATCAACCATGTCATTCGAGTCTTTTTATCAACCCAAATACTAAGATGGTATGGTTAGGCATATCTTAAAAGCATTTAGTAAGAATCTGATTTTTTTTTTTTTAAGCACACTTTAAGCCCAGCATGGAGCCCAGTGTGAGGCCAGTACTTACCACACTGAGATCAAGACTGAGCTGTGATCAAGAGTCAGAGGCTTAACCGACTGAGCCACCCAGGCACTTCAAGAGTCTGATTTTTTTTGTCCCAAATTCTATTCCTAGGAATTTATATTAATTAAATATCTACACAAAAACCTAACAGTAGGTAACAGGTTAATTTGGTTCTTTATATGATGGTATACATACCATTATTCATCATGATATCAGTCCAGGCTTAAAAGAAGTATACATAATGTAGGAATTTTGTATCCAAGGTAGGTATCCTGTTGAATTTAAGACAGAATCTATTCAGATTTTCTAAATGTGAAAATGTTCTTAGAGTCTATGAGATTTGATTGCCTTGGTTTCTCATTGTAAAATCCAGAGTATGAAAATCACCTACTAAATATGAATATCTTGGAGAAAGATAATCTCTATAAAAACTTAATAATATGCTGTAATACTATATTAATATGTTAGCTATTTTACTGAAGAACATTTCGTGTTCTCTAATTATTACAAAAGAAACAATTCTATCTCTTTTTTAGAGTAAAGTTGTGCTTCTCATCTCTGCTCTTCTAACACACACACACACACACACACACACACACACACACACACACACACA